TGTAGCTGCTAAGAGGTTCCGAAACAATAAATCACACTTGCAACACCAATTTCACTGCCAGGACTCACACACAAAATTACTGTTTTTTTCCCCCTGTATACATACTTGCGTGTACTTGCAAACAACAGCCTTGGCAGGAGAGCAGAGGCGAGGTGCCGTCCTCCTGCAGCAGAGGGTTGGTTGGTGTGGGGGGGCAGTTCTGCTCCCGGAAGGAAAAGCAGATCTCTGGGATGAGGGGCTTCGTCCTCCTCAGACCTCCACTGTGGAAAACAGGGCAGTCTGCTGGAGCAGGAGTAATGGAAGTGTCTGAAGTCGTGGTGTAGTTTTTATCCTCTGCTTTGTCTTCAGGCTGTCAAAGAAAATGTAAATCATATTATTACACTATTCCTCATAAAACATACTAATAGAGAAGGAAAAGGAGGTTTTTTTTAACTACGTACCTACATACGAGTAATTTTGAAAATATACGCACACTTATATGAATGGGTCAAGTACCATTTAAATATTGTGCAACAGTCAGCCAACATTGTGGGATTTCCTTCTACAGTTCTGCAGTATTTCTTTACTGAAACATAGACTAAGTGCTACACAGCTTCAGTGAGACGTTGCTGACTGGTGTAAAAGCTGTGCTTACTTTCTGTCCAGCAGACAATGATAACTATGCGAAACGTTTAATTTCACTGATCATAATCTTTATATATTATTTTATCCTTAGTTTGATTGATATGTTGTATAACGTGACAAAGGTACCAAATCGAAGATTTTTTTCCTGAACTCAGAAATATTTGCTTCATCTCAGACTAAAATAGACTAAAACTGGCTGTAAGTATTTTCCTGCTTGGTGTCCATACTGCTCACTCACACACACACACACACTGCCCATTGCCGACAGACCACTGCCCACAGAGCACCACCTACATAACACTGCCTTCTAGATCATTGCATTTAATTAAGACCCAACTCAGATAAGTCCCACTGATTGTTCTTGGCATTAGCAGGAGCACAAGTGAAGATACTTTTGCTCATATGTCTTATCCAACAAATCATGCACTGATGTAGTAAACCTCTTGCCTGGTAGTAGGGCATGAAGAGAGTGCAGACAGCACAGTAGGGTGCCATGGTGGCTGCATGACCATTGTACTCCCTCTCTGCTGTGAAGCAGCTCTTTTTGCTTTGCCACAGGTAGATGATGGGCTTTGCCCACGCTTCCATTTCCTGCTCATCCTCCTCCTCTGCCAGGCTCGCCTCAGGGGGCTCTAAATCGAGACAATATATAGATTTGCAACATCATAATCTGCTCACAGTCCAGTCAAGATAATCATTCATATAGTAATAAATATATATTTTAAAAAAAAACAATGCAATTGCTGTCAAAATCAAGTCCATCATGAAATTCTAATAGTTTCTGTTAAAATTTCAGAAACCACTTCAGGGTAAACATTCTTCATTCTCACAATTCTTGCTGTTAAACAGTAGCATCTAATCTGCCCACAGTGATGACAACTGCCTCTGGTGCCCCGAAAATGTTGGAATAAATGAGAGCCTGACTGCTTATAAAAATGAACAGTTTGATTGAGAGCTCCTATCATCAGGAAATAGCCTTTTCACCGACACGGTCATTTCATGGTCATTTCTTCTTCGGGGATAAACAACCAAATGGCTGATGAATTATTCATCCATTTTCACAACCATGAGGGGGCAGAATATGACTTTAAATATGGGCATTAGTTCTTGTTAATGGGTGGCCCCCACCCCCTACCATTAAAACCCTGAACACAAATAGAGCATCTATCACTATCACTAGATACTGTGGAAGGTCCAGGAGCTAAGAACACACTGATGTCAAAAGAATCATCTGGGGGGGAGGGAGGGGCTAAATGTGAAGAATGACCAGAGGAAGTGAGAACCACAGAGTACAATGGCTCAGTGGTAATGACAGTTGTATACTGGGAGACAGTGTTATCTGATATTACTCGGAACTCAAAGGTTTTGTGTAATTATTTAAAATTGGGGACTTAGGGAAAAAATAAAATGTTTTACTGATGAAACACAGGTTTGATGTGGAGGAATCTGAATCTGAAAGTGTTCTGTGTGTAAATCTGTCCTGTCTGCAGTTCAGTTGTCTTCTGTTAAATCATAAGAAGGGGCAACAGACAACAGTGATTGTTTGGTAGGTCAAGTCAAATAACTACGTACAAAACTGCAAAACTTATATTCTCGGCTCCCAAATGATTCTAAAGAGTAAGAGATAGAAGAATGTGACTCAATTGACACTGTACCAACTTCTTTGTGTCCTGGTATGAAAGTTAAAAAAATATAGAAACATACTTTTTCATAATTTTCTCTGTGCGAAGTGTGCATTACCAAATTACAAATTTGATTTTACAATGCAATTTTAGAAATGGTCTCTCTAGGGTCTTGTATTACTAAGCTCCTTCTAAACATAGACTTGTACGCACACAAATACAAATATACACATGCACTTGTTTCCATCTAAATGTTTGTTTTAATTAAAAAACAAACTTAAGCAAGTAGAGAAGTGGGTGAATGCCAGCATGTGTAGGTGATAGGTACCATCATCACTAGTGCTTTGTTGTTTGACAGCAGTGGGTACAGCCCTTGCGGTGGGCTTTCTGAGTGGGTGGCGCCAGCTCTTCGCAATCCTCTTCATCGCAAGAGGAGGGTACTAGCAGAGAGTATTGAAAGGTAAAGAGTACCTGTGTAAATAAACAACAGTAGAGCCAGATCTGTATGATGTGATTAAAGTAGGGAAAACACTTACAGCGCACACCTCTCCAGGCTCGAGGTTTGATTTATCACAGCCATAGCGGACCGTATCATTTTCTTCCTCCTCATATTCGTCCTCATCAGAAGAGTCACTACAGCTCTCTCCCCTAACCCTATTCTGTTGGTGCTCCTCTTCAGGATTAGGCTCCTCTTCATCTGTGTCAGATACCACATCCTGCTCTACTCGTCTCCTTCCGAAACCTAGAACATTAGCGTCTGAATATCGACTCCCCCCTGCCTGCTTTTGTCTCCCCAGTTCCCTGTAGAGGGCAAGGGCCTCAGTTCCCTCCATGTTTCCCTTCTGAAGCTCACCAATCCCCAGAGGCTCAGTTGCACCAACAGACACAAGGGAGGTGGGCTCGAGCTGCGCCCAGATGAGAGGTCCGCTTTCCTCTTCCTGGTTGGCTGACTTTTGGTCACAGTCCTCCAGGTTTGTGACCTCTTTGCACTGTGGTTCAGTCCACATGGTGTAAGGTAAAGGATCATGGGTAAAGTCAGAGGGCAGATCTGAGTTTAGACTTTGAATGAGTACTGCAGGACTCTGGGAACTCAGGTTTTTCCAAATGCTGCTGGAAAATGGTTTGGGCTCAACGTATGGATTCTGGAAACTACAATGTGAAGCTGAATATGTCACCAGGTGGTTTACCTCTAACGCTGGAGCTCTGTCACTCTGAACGGATAATGAGGGGGGAGAGCCTGAGAAGTTGTTGTTTGATGTACTGCCAACAAAAGAGTGAGGAGTGCTGACACAAGATGTGCTCTTTTTTTTAGATGGGTCATCGAAGTCATCTCTACTTGACACCACTGAGTGAGGTGAACTACTCTCAAGGAGCTGTCCAGAAGTAGCGTCATTACATGCAGAAGTAAGATCTCTCAACTTTGAATTATTTTTTTCTGCAGTAGTTTGAGACTTTATTAGTATTTGGACACCACAAGATGTCTTTTTGTCTGTAGCATTTGCAGTTAAATGAGCCACATCTCCTTCTAATCTAGGAGCTCCTGCCGCTTCGCAATTATTTTGAGAATCTAAATGCCAGCTGTCGTCATGTTTTCCAGCAGAAGCCTCTTTTGATATTACTTCAGTCTCTTTTTCACCCTGTCTTACATCATGTGAGGACAAAGAACCGATTGTTCTCTCTGGATGTAACAGAGGTGCCACCTGGTAGCTACTTGTCAAAGTTTTAGGGGCATCAATCAGCCCATCATCTGCGGGGGTAAGAGCAGGCATTTCTTGGGTCAGTACAGGTGGCAAAGGGCAGATTCCAATCTTATCTGCCAGCTCCAGTGTGAGTAGTGGCATTTCCACAGCATTTCTCTGTAGCAGTGGTGGTTCCTCACTGCTTTTTTCTGAGTGGCAGCTGTGTCCTGGAGAGGAGATGGAGCCACATGATGTGCAACTGTCTCCCTCTGCTGGCTTGGATTTAATATCATAAAGTGCTTCTTTTGTCGAGTGTGGACTGATATGTATTGGATCGACAGTTTCGGCCACATTGTCAGCTACAGCAGTGTTGTTAGTGTAAATCTCAGTACATGTGTCCATGCAGCTGTTAGCATTTGGCTTTTGACTTAAACTGTCGTCCCTGGATAAGGAACTAGACGTCTGAAAATCAACATCAGGGAGACACTGCTTCATCTCAGTTTCTGAAGAAGTGCATTTAGTGTGGGTGGATGTGCCGGGTGAAGAAGGGACACTGATGGAAGAATCCTGAGATGTTAAGGGGTCTTGCAGTCCAGTAACACAACTCTGTGAGTCTTTTATCCTGGGATGCAACTCGGCAGTCTCCGGAAAATGTCTGAGTCCTTCAGGAGTCATGCTGGAGACTCCTGACCCTGAGATGTGTTGAGGCTCAAAGTGGGAGGCTGTCTCTGACTTCAAGTCAGTGTTTACTGATGAAGCAGCAGAGATGAAGGGAGATGAAGGGCACCGGGATTTGTCGAAAGACTCTTTGTTGGGAATTCCAAGAGTATTACTCTCTACACGATTTACCTTTACTACACACACCTGTGTGCAGGGAACTGTAGACAAAAGGAAAAAAAATAAAATCAGTAGCACTCACCAGAGTTAGCATAAAGTAGTAAATATGTTTTAAAGGTTAAGATTTGTGAACTGACTTGCTTTAAGTCACAAACCCACTCCTTAATTTAGCACAAGGTGTTAAATACCTACAGTCAGTACCTTACCAGAAATCTGAACAGCGAGCGGATTCTCGTCATTATTTGACTCTGATTCCTTTTTCTTCCCTTTGTCTCCCTCCCTGCTGTGTCTTGCTGCTGCAGACCTTCGCATCTTTGGTGCAGGCGAACCACTCAAGCCTTTCCTCCTGCTGCTGCTGCAGCTTTGATTTGACCCAGCATCCAGGCCGACTGGTTCCTCTGTGGTTCTGAGCCGCTTGGAGCGCATACGAGAATGATTACTGCATAAAGACGTTGGAAGTATTAAAAGCTTCAAGCATAACAATACATGGAAATTATATATAATGAATCCTAATAATAAATCCTTTGCTAATGTTTCCTAAAGTGTTTAATTTTAAAAACTCAACATCAAAATGCAGACTTTCAGATTATCGTCCTACTGACACAATTAACACATATATTCCCTCTACCCGTTATTCGTAGGCTTGGTTTTCTGGCGCCTCTGCAACCAACTCTGCAGCTCTGGTGTTGTTCTGGGAGTGGCCAGTGTGTGATCAATAGGGATCAAGTCCTTGCCCCCCATCCAGTTAGAGTAACGGTCAGGCTGAAAGCGCTTCACAAAGGGTTCCATGGAAATCTTAACCATGTCTTTGCTACATGTGCACTAAAGAAGAGAAAAGAACACTGTCAATTTCCTTCAGAAAGACATTAATGTAAGAGTTAGGATCTATGACTTTGTGGCTCAATTTGTAATTATTTAACCCAGTCATTTTATTGGAGAACCAATAGTTCGAAACTAAAAGTGAATACAGTAACATTTAAACAGAAACTCTACTCTCATATGTTACATAGCTACCTGTGTGGCCACTTTGCCATAGTCTATCCAGCGCACAGTTGCAAAGTTTGTTGATTCTGCACAGTTGAATCCATGATTGAAGCCAGCATGGTAGCCATAAGGGAAGGTGATCATAAATTCTCCAGCTTCCTGAGTAATCTAATAATTGAAAATAATGAAGACAGACAAGTTGTTGAGACGTGGCCATTTATAATCATTAAGTTTTGAAATAAATATGCATTTGTTTTTACCATCAATCACAACAAATATTACTTTATTTTGTGACAGAAAAGGCTATTGGTAATACTGTTAGAATTTTCTAAGAAGTTTATAGATGCCCAGGAAAAAAGCCTGACAGAGGTTGAAGCCTACCTTATCAAAGGGGATGCCGTACTTCTTCAGTACAAAAGGGGAGATCAGAGTCATCTTGTGACGGAGAAAAGCCTCACATCCCTTGAAGCTATTGGGGAAGAAGCCTAAATAAAAAATAGCAACACAGACGTAAACAACTTTTAACACTAAAGATTGAAGCTATATATATTTATATATTATACAGTGTATATATATTAAAAGGCCTATGAGTAAAGTGTGGTATAGAAAAATAGCTACAAAAACGAATATGTTTTGTTTGACTTTATTCCATGGAATTTTTTTATCTGAAGGATTAAAATAAATTTTATTTCACCTGTAGCCAGACGCTCAAGTCTCTTTCCATGCTCGGGAGGTATGGCATACCTGTAGGAAGAGGACAAGATGATAAAGCATCCATAATTTTTATTCAAGTTTACATTTCTCCTCTAAAATCCTTAACCCGTATTGCTCATTATGCCTAAAGTCTAAAATACTAGCATTCACAAAAGGGCTTTGGTTTCCTTGAGGAAACTTTATCAAGACTGCCATCAAGTGGTGGGAACCGAAATGATATCAAGAGGACTTAAAAAAGGTAATTTCATTTATTAAATTATAATAATAATAATACTTTGTCTATTTAATCTACTTCCTTGCTATTTACTTTGATTAGACTGTCTTTTATTTATAATGTATATATAATATATTATATATTTATACACCAGACCATCTCCAGGAGCCATTGCTGTTTGGGGAAGAAATTCTTATTCCTGGCCATATACAAGCCATTTGCGTGGAAAGCTTCATCATTGACGCAATCTGAATTAAAACTATTCCTGAAGTTTTTCTGGTGAGAAACTCACCAAGTGTGACAGAGCTCCCTCATGGTTTGACTAGGCTTTCTATTTGACTAGCACCGTCCGCCCTCGGCTCTGTGGCATTCTGTCGTCATATCAGCTGTCAGCTTAACCGACAGCAAGAGACAGAGGGAGAGGAGCAGGCAGACTCAGGTAGGGGTGACATGGGAAGTCGGAGGGTGAGGTGCATCTTTAAGCTGCTCCCCTCCAGGGACAAGATATCAAAATAGCAGAGATGAAAGTGTGTGAGAGAATGTACAGGGTATGTGTATATACGCATATGTGTGTGTGTGTGTGTCACTGTGGCACTGATGCCTGTAGGGTTGCAGGGCTCTTTGCTCTAATGAGCACAACTCCCTCCAGGGCAAGACGGGTAGAGGAAAATGGAGAAATACCAAGCTAACAAAAAAAAATCTAGAAAACAATTCTGCAAATAAATTCTGTCTACTCTTAAGAAATCCAACCTGCTATCCATGTTCCTAATGAGTATCCTTGATTGATCTTCAATTAAAACTATATTTACGTGGCATAGTATATTTAAGTAATAATATTCAGAGTGAGGACGTTGTCACTGAATGAATTGTAAAGAAGGACTGAACATGGCAATAAAAAAAGGTCAGGACCTTTAAGACTTGGTTTGTTTGTTGTATACATATTTCTATCTGTTGTGTGGTTGAAGCCTGTAACTACATCCAAAGCTGATACTCACCAAGACTTGGGTTCACCAAAGTGGAGGTAGTTGATGCTGTAAAGATCCATGTCTTCAGTGTGCCAGGCAAAGGTGGTTTTCCACATGCCAAAGTACAGGTATGGAGTGTTGACCCCCTGGATGGAGACACCACAGTCCTCTTCAATCACATCCAAGATGGAGTTCAGGTGGCCGATATTCCACTCCTCTACATCCTTAAAAGATATAATGATTTTAATATCAGAGTGATGGGCTGTGAATATTTGTCATTAAATAAAATAAATAGGAGTTATGTGCTTTGGTTTGCGCACACTGACGCTATATCCTGAAAAGCTGCGAGTTTCAGAGTTACTTGCGTTACGTACCCATAACAATGATAGAGCAACTAAAGTCACAACTTAAATTAAGTTACACATACTGTTCGTATTTTGTTTCAAATTTGTGCTTCTGGCTGTTATCTAACCAGAGTCAAATGATTCAACACAACCATAAGTGTTGTGAAGTGTTAAAGACTCCTAAGAAAATATATAATAAGTGGAGGAAATCAATCATTGAATAATCCTATTCTCTGTTCCTTGAAAAAAAAGGATAATCTGGAAACAAAAAAATGAACAAAAAAAAGACAAAAAGATAATTTAAATTATGATTAAGTAAAACTACCTCATCATAGAGACTTCCACTGACATCTGCACCATATATGGGGGAAACAAAGGTGAGATTCTTCCAGTACTTTCGCTCAAGATCCTCATAATTCAGGTAGCGTGGTGTACAGTACCTGCACATAAAAAGACACATCATCTTGTGAATACTGTGTAATATCAACAATTATCAACTTTCATCTTCAGTCACTCTTGGATCATTTACTTTATCTAAATGTCTGCACATTAACATTAGCTTTACAATACAAGCAGACAATTCTTCAAAACAATTTCTTTTCACAACAACATAATTTGTCAAAATTGTCCATATTGCTCACATGTCACTATTAGCTAGTCGTCTGAACTCCTGCACACTAAGAGGCTTCTTCTGGATGTTGTACTGAGTGAAGAGCCCTGACTGTCCAGCCATCATCTGTTGGATGGGGGCATCAATCATCAGATCATCAATGTCATCATAGGTACGACGAGGCTTCCACCCTTTCGGAGGAATCACCTGAGGAAGACAAGAGTGACAAGAAATAAAGTTTCATGCCAACCAAAACACAGGACCAGGAGCAAAGTAGTTTTTGACTTTATACCATGTCAATTTATCATTCCTCACTATGAATCCACATCACAAAAGCTAACACTCTGCTTGTAATTAAGCAGCTGCTGTAGTTACCATTTTAGCTAAATAATTTCAGTCTTTCTTGAAAATATCTAAACCCATGTTTTATAAGAAACAATGTCCTTTATATGATCTCTTAATATCTCAAGAGGGTTAGATCAGCATGTTGTACTATTGTTCATTTGTAAAATGTTGTTTAGCCTAAGTTCAAATTTCAGCTCAGGCTAAAGCCACTACTTACCTTAGCCAGTCCTGCACGGTGTGCTCCCTGAGACTCCATGTAAACTAGGTACTGGTTGAAGTCCTTAAATTCCTCCATGGTGGGCCTGAAGGTCATGATCTTACAGGTGGGGTTTGCAGGGGTATAAACCTCTGCCCCCGCCATCCTGCCACCAGACCAGACAAACCTACAAAAAGCCCAACATTAATATAATCATATTGATTATTTCTTCATATAATGAAGAGTCATGTCAAGCTTTTTTCACAAGAAATTTCAAATTTATTCACAAGATGGCTACATTAGATCATAGAAAAAGCTCTTTCTGTAGTAAAGACATATTATAGGTCTGCTCAGGTGTTACTCAAAAACATGTCTAATTTAATTTCATGATTTTCTGGGAATAAACAATATTGTTGCTTTGAAAAGGGAAGGACAAGAACTTAGTGACAATTGTAGATTTTACAGGATCTGGAAAAGGGGGTATGTGAATCTATTTTAGTGACAATTGTAGATTTTACAGGATGTGGAAAAGGGGCTATGTGAATTGCTGGTTTAATAGATGCTCACACATGTGGCTTTTGTGGCTCATGTGGTTTATGTTGCATCAGGCCTGTAATTTTAGTTTAGACAGGTTGAGAAGTTTTATTTTTATGTGATTTTCATTTTAAACTGTCTTGCGTTTGCAAAAAGAATGAGAATTTTGGTTGTGCTATGTCTTTAAACGTATTAACTATGATAGCATATCTTACAACAAAGCTTTAAATTAAAACTCATTGGAGTTCTTTTGATGGTTCGTGACTCTTGGCATGTAGCTACATTCTGTGATCTTAACTTCCTAACACAATAAAGATACAACTATCTTCTGTGTCAGCTGTAGGTAGGATTGGTCAAAATGTTTTACAGGATATCATTAACGATCACTGCGTGTTGGTCATAATCTCACCACTAGATGGAGGTAGATATTTTGCTAATGGAGGCTTGAAGCTTAATCCTTATTGATGCCAACGACCCTTTACAAATTTTGGTCCTGTCCTATACCCAACTTTGACTTGACTGTGAGTGTGCATCCAAACAAAGGATCACGTTGTCCCGCGTGAAGCCGAGTTAGTTTTCATAATCATTTTTTCTTCACGCAGGTGCTTCATTGTGCAAACTACACCACTAAACGATACAAAGCGCAGTTATGTAACGGACATATTGAAATATGTTATTATTGTAACATATAGATTAAAAAAAATGTTGCATTTTAATAAGCTCGGGTACTATGACGCTTTTGTTTACAGTCTTTGTTTGGAGCAATATCAAAGTATTCCAAAACGTTGAGCGCCAGTGAAATGTCAAATATAAAAATTTAAATATGTACATATGTTATATGATAAATACACTTGCTATTTGTTAGAGTCACGTAATACTTGGGTTCGCATTACAGTAACTGTGTCTGAGCTTTGTTGTCTGCTGCCAAAGGCTGCTAACTAGCAAGCTAGCCTACGTTTTGTTATGATGTCAAGTAATGGCTGAACTATCAGCACAAGCTAGGCGGCTCAGCTGCTTAGCTAACGGGTACTCAAATGCCAAGCTCATTAGATGTTATTGGATTCGAATTGAATGTTTGCTCCCGATATCTGACTCGTCAACAACTTTTAACGACAGTATTAGAGAACGTCGGAAAACGAAGCAAACTATTAAGCTACAGCTGCTACAATGTTAGCCAAGTTAATGCACGAGTCAATGGGGTTTAAATGTCCCTCGCAAGGTGGCTGCGGGCAGGCCCGTTCATAACCATACTCTATGACTTCAACAGTTACGAATGGTTCATTTTTCAAATCGATTCTGTTATCTGTCGGAAAATACATGCTAAAACCAATAGACAAAGGTTACATACGTTGCAACATGCCTACTGTGTGCCAACCTGTGTAGCTGGTAGCACCAGCAGCAGGGTTAGCTGCTGGTAGCTTGGCTAATACTGCACAGGAGTCACGAAAGATACACAAATTTGTTTTTAACCAAACAAACAACTATCGCAAGATGGAGGCTTAGTTTCACATGTATATCACACGTCCATTTCCTGAAAATGTGCAGTATGTACCTTGCTTTAGGGACGCCGAATGTTGTTGTTTATCTCCTTCCTTGTTCGTCCAGCTGATTCACATGACAGCTGCCCTGACTATTGCTACTATTGCTCCTGCTGCTCCTGCTGCCTGGTGCGGTGAAGTCAGTCGCCTCCTCCACTCCAGTTCCTCTGCCGCTGAATTTGCGTCTGTCCAAGTGTGGTGTAGATGAGTTCTGGAGTGCAGGAGAGCTGGGCATAAACTCAGGCAAAAATGGGAAAACAATGTACCATCATATACAGACCAAAAATTGATTAACCACCACACAGCCACGTGAAGAATTAATGAGTATGCAATGGACAAAATCTGTTTTTTCTACAATTATGAGATTAAAAAAACAAACATATTTTTTATATTTTTTATTATTTACAATTTGTGATTCCTAGTTATTTAAAAATGTATTTTTCTGAATTATTAGATGTTGAATTTGAATTCAGTTTGCTTTTAATATTATAGTAGTAAATCTCTCTTAATAAATTCCATATATTTATTAAAATGTATGTGCTTGTTATCAAACTTACTGGACAGTATGTCACAAGTTATATTTTGTTTTTACTGTGAGATATTTTTTTGGAAAAGTCTCTGTGGCGTATTATATTAAACACATTTGTTAGAGCTAACATTTCACCCTTGGTACTGTTAAACATAATTACATAACATATTTAACATAATAAACATAACATATTTAACATATTTAACATAAGTTGTCATTGGAGCATAATAAAGCAAAGAAAATCTTTTTTCAGTATTTTTTTTTTTCATTTTTAATGTTTTATTTTTTTATTCTTTTGTATTTGATTATATATTGCACACCTTTCATGTTAGATTTTTTAAATCTTCAGAATTCTGAGAAATTTCACCCATCACTAACTGTCTTTACGTTATGTAGACACTATCACTTCTAAAAGTAATTATTTGTGATTTATGTGTAAAATCGTAAACTGTCTTTTCCAAGTCCTTTTACATTTCTCAACTAATCTAATGCATATATATTAAATACATATATTAAATACTAATTATTTCTAGTTAAATAGAGCAACTTTACTTCTCACTGAGATATGTAGTTTTATTTTTATGCGTCACGACGTAGGGCTGATGAAACTGAGGAGTGGCCTGGTGATTGCAGTGACACTTTCTGACATGTGGGTGTCGCTGCTGACACTCTGCAATCATGGCTGCCCAGGATGAGCTCAGTAAGTTTCCCTATGCGTTATTAGTATTAAATATATGTGAAAGCATTTTGTTTATGGTTGTCAATGATTGAAACTAGAAAGAGTCTGATTTATTGAAACTATATGGCTGTTTTTTGAGTTCGAATAAAACCATGATCATTTAAAAAAGAGAAACATGGTAGCGGTTTAGCTCTGTGGCTAACTAGAAGGCTAACGTGTACTGGAGGCCGTTTGCCCTGTCATGGTCAAAATTGAAACTGTAACGTATGTTGTTATTGCGTTGTCACGAATAAAGACTTTTCACATGTAATTATCAACTTGAACAGTTGGTAGTATTTGAATCTCTTGAACATGGTGTCAATTGTAGTGAAGAACCATGCGTTTGACAGGCAAACGATGAAATACGTGGATAGTGAGTTGATGGAGCTAGCTGGTAGATAAGCATTGCCAGTGAATGAAGGTAGGGCACAGTGATGGTTATGCGAACTCGGCAACTGAGAAGATTATTAGCACAACAGTAACACCACAACACAAAGGGCTGACAGGGTGCTGAAGCGTGTACATAAACAGCATACAAGAGTTATTTTCTCTAACAAAAGCTTTTAGGCAAGACGTGTATTATTTTATATGACCATTGCCAGGATATCAACTTAAGATTTAATCCAAGTGGTATAAATGTTTTTTAATCACAGATCAGCTGGAACGTGTGTTCCTTCGCCTGGGCCATGCAGAAACAGACGAACAACTACAAGACATTATCTCCAAATTCCTGCCCCCTGTACTCCTTAAACTCTCCAGTGTTCAAGAGGGGGTGCGAAAGAAAGTAAGAACAGTTTCTGTTTCTCTCTATGAAAGAACAACAGGAACTTACTCTGCTGTATGTGACTTCCACTAGGAGGAATGTTTCTAAAATTACACTGTTATTTTCAACCATAGATGTAATAAAACAGTAGTTATTAATAGGGGTTGGTTATGGTAATTTGTTTCTATACTATGGCTGTGTGGGGAAAACAACCACAAGTCCGCCTCTGATCATCTGTAAGTTTAGATGATTAAATTAGATTATAAATGGACATAACTGTGAATGCATCATAATATTAATGTAAATGCATGTCTAATTTCATGCAAGGTTAATGATTGTTGAGATTGTATGTTTATTACTTTCTGTGCTTTCTGTTTTAGGTGATGGAGTTATTGGTCCACTTGAATAAGAGAATAAAAAGCCGACCTAAGATTCAGCTACCAGTAGAAACTCTCCTTGTACAGTACCAAGACCCTGCAGCTGCTTCATTTGTCACGGTACTTGTTTTGTCTTGTAAAGTACTGTATTTAGATTAACCCCAGCCTCCACCTATTTACACCTTTATTTACCATCATTTAACTTACTTTCCAGTCAAACTCATTTCTGTGCTTCCATGTAGTGTTTATGTTAAGACAAAATGGTGATTGTTAAATATATTTATTTCATAGAACTTTACCATCATCTACATTAAAATTGGTTACCCACGTCTTGAGGTAGGAAAGCAGTGCGAGTTAGCCCCCACCCTCCTCACTGCAATGGAGGGCAAGCCACAGCCACAACAGGACAGGTGAGGAAAAACCTTTTTTATATCAATTTATGCATATATATGTCCTAAATTCTCTTTAATGAACCATAACTATTAAATCTTTTTATGCTTTCTCTCTCCCAGCTTGATGCACCTGCTGATCCCCTCTCTTTACCATATGAAGTATCCTGCAGACACCAGCAAGACTTCAGTTCCCTTTAACCTAAGTGAACGGCCAAAGACAGTGCAGTTGCTCTTGGAATTTATGTTGGATGTTTTACTGATGCCATATGGGTGAGTCTTTGCTTTGTGGTAATGTCTTTTTAGGAACATGAGAGATCAAAATTGTATGATTACCAGGGCTAATGACAATGTACCTCTCGCTCCTGTAGGTTTGTGCTAAATGAATCTCCAACACGACCAGCACCCTCGTCCTCTCAGGGAAGTTCTTCAGATGGGTCAGTGACCACAAGTAGCCAGTGCCTTCCCCAGCCTCCCCCTGGTATGAGTGTTTATGCTGCCAAGAGGGTGATTGGAGAAGCTCAGTGGAGCGCCGAGCAACTAGAACAGGTAAATTTACAAACTCAAAAATAGGTGAAAACTTAGAAAAAATTATTTTGCTCTGAATGGTTGTGTAGTCACTGCCTTTGTTCATTTTTTGACAGTGTAAACTGGGCATAGTGAAATTCATCGAAGCTAAGCAGGTTCCAGAAGTGGAGACTGTAGTTCACCTGGTGGTGGCGTCCAGCGACACGAGACACAGTGTTGCCACAGCAGCTGATCTGGAGCTGAAGAGCAAACAGAGGTACATGCAATACCTGCAAAAAAAATTACCTACCTACTTACCTGTTTATACCTATGTGATGATAGCAGCATAGTTTATCAGGTTTAAGGTAGTTCATACCTATGTATATGATTAAATTATTATTATTATTTATTAATCTCTGATTCAGACTGAAGTCTTTCATTCTTCTTTGCTTTTGCAGCATAATCGATTGGAACAACCCACTGATTATTAACAAGATGTACAAGGTGTATCTCGGTGATATCCCACTTAAATCCAAGGTGTGTGCATTGACTTACATTCTTTTTGAAATAGAATGATTTTACCTATATTTGAAATATATTTGAATTAAAAGTAAAACTTGGTATATGGAATCAATGTGGCTGAATTCTGTGTTACCAAGGGTGGAAATTTGAAGCAAGAGTTGAAGCATGAACCAGTGAGTACTAGGGTTAAACTAAAAATCCTGCCACATCTGCTACGGTCACGCTTAGCTGCAGAGTGCTTTCCAGCTAATATCCAGGTATGATGTTTATGATGTGCTTTCTTTAATCATTTGGTTTTGAGTAGAAGTCAGTTTAAAGACAAATCACTGTCACTTTTTTTTCTAGGTCGTATATGATGGTCTTTTTGGAGCAAATACAAACAACAAATTGCTGTCACTCACTTTACAGTTTGTTCATCACATTTGCATGGTGTAAGAATTACAGATTAACTCCCCCCTCTTTGTCCACATTTGAATCACAAAGTCTTCTTAACATAAAAAACAACACTTTTGTCTTTTTTCTAACATTGTGTTTTTAGGTGTCCTGACACTAATAAGCCATTAGGGCTTATGCTGCTCAATGGTCTCACCAAGCTTATCAATGAATACAAGGAAGTAAGACGACATTAAAAACCAACCTCATTTTTCTTAATTGTGTTCAGTTTGGTTCAACTAGGTTATACTCACTGACACAACCTTTGTCTTGCAGGACCAAAAGCTACTGTGTGTTGCCTACTCGGCAGTTGGAAAGCTGTCAAGGTAAAATGGAATTGTTGATTTGTTAATCACAAGCCTGTTTTGGACTATCAGACATAAAAAATATTATTATTAATTCTCTGTCTTTTCCTCTAGTCGAATGCCGCAACTGTTTACAAAGGATATTGCACTGGTCCAGCAGTTTTTTGATTCCATGTGCAAGGTATGCAAACAATTACAGAATAATGTGACATTAGACAGAAAAAGTCACCAATATTAGAGTTAATTATGAAAACCTTATTTTGCTATTGTTTGTACTTATATATCATATTGCATTTACCTAAATTATCTTTTTTTGTAGGAGGAGTCTGATGTTCGCCTAGCCATTCAGGAAGCTTTATCAATGATGGTTGGAGCTTATGCTAACCTCCAGGGGGCACTGCTTAATCTGATGGAGGCACTGGTCACTGCCTACATTGGAAAGGTAGGCAGCTAACATGCAAAATTATTTTGTCTGGGAGAAAACGCAGACTAAATTAGTTGTTATCAGAAATGAGGTTAAATTAACACTTGACTTTTCTGCCCCACCAGCCGGAAGTACAGGTCCGCCAAGTAGCCATGAAGTTTGTCAGCACTGTTTTTGCTTCTGATCATGTGCCATCAAGATATCTGCTGCTGCTGGCTGCTGGAGATCTGTAAGTCATACATTTTAATAATCTGAATGATTAATGTACGTGCAGCCATTTATGAACCCTAAGGAACGTTTGTCTCATGATCTATAAAACAGACTCCCCATGTGGTTGATTGTTGTTTTAAAATGTTTTTATTGTATGCTTTTAGGAGAGAGGAGGTGGCAGGAGAGGCCCAGAGGGTTTTGAGGGCTGTTTCCAACAAGAGTTCAGAGAAGGAGGGTCCAAAGCCTATGCCCTCATTTCCTGACATGGTAGCGTATGTTCAGGAGAAGGTAAGATATGTACATTTTTAAAATCTTGGTTAGGCGATGGATTCTAAACTTTTGTCATGTTTTGGGGAAAAAAATATCATCATGTCTTATCTTTTATTATATGTCACCAACAGGCAGCTCAGAGGATCAAGACTCCAGCAAAGTACATTGTTGGAACCTACACCATTCCTTTTAACCCTTCTGCATTTGGGGAGGTAAATATATGACAACTATGCCTTTTTAAATCCTTGTCTGTGGAAAAGTTATTCATTCTCCCAGAGTCACTTTTCTTATTACTGACCTTATCATTGGTTTTCAGATCGTGCTGTACCTGAGGATGTGTTTAGCTCACAGTGCAGGGGCCACACTCATGTCCACACGCTTGGCAGACATGCAGGATGATGCCCCAGCCATCGGCCGCTACGTTCACACACTGCTGTCCTGTGATCCCCTGCCGTCTATTTCCAAAGGATCCGAGGCCAATCCCATTCATGTCTACATGGATCTGTTGCAGCAGCTGCTGTCTGCCGTCGGAGGTGAGAGAATGTGGTGAATTATTAAAAGTATTTCCAAGTATATCAACATTGAATTAATCCCCATTATTCTCCGATTAATGATTACTTACAGGAATCCCAGTCATGTACTGTCTGTTGGAGGTTGTGTCTGTCTGCCCAGAGAAACTTGCTCCGAGATTTTTCAATAAAATCGACTGGATTAAAGTAAGTATTTCACCACCTGCTCACAGGAGGTCATTATCTGACAGTTTTATATTGATTTGATATGCCAGTCTCTGATGTGAATTCAGAGTAACATCTGGAGAACTGGGTCAGGATATTCCTTTGAGTTTTTTATTCCAATATTTATGTCAAATGCATAAGAAGTTTATTCTGCTTTATTTGACAGGAAAAACAAAATGTCCAGAGACAAGTATTTAATGACACAGTGTCTGTGTGCACATTTCTAAACTGAGAGCGTTTTCTCTTTACTAATTGACAACATCTTTCCAGGGTCTGATGAACACAAATAAGGAAGACATGAGGGAGTTGGCAGCTCAGCTGTACGCTGTGGTGGTGTCCACCATGACTGGCAATGAACTACAGACAGCCGTGCAAAACCTGGTCAAAACTACAAAGGACAGTCATGTATGTTACTGTCTTTTGTTTTATTGTTTTCTGCACTTGAAACCTTTTGACCTTTTTGTTCATACTTGCCTTTATTCTTGAACCCAAGAATCCTGAGACTCAGCATGGTGCCGTTCTGGCTCTTGGCTACATGGTGGGAAGGTACATGGGCAAGAAGAATGCTCTCTCTTGCAGTGACTCCACCCATAACAAAGGACAGAAAATGAGTGTTTCTTCACAAGAAGGGGATGCACTTGTTTCCATGGCAACAAAGACAATTGGTATGATATTTTTTAGGTAACAATGTCTTGCAGACAGTTCCGCTTCTAATTATTTAGACTTCACATTTCCTCTGCCTATGATTATTTACACTTTTTGTTTAACCATCTGTTTTAACCATCTTACACAAAATGTTGTAAGAAAACTCACTTTACAATAATGGGTTTTTAAAAAATAAAATGTTTTTTAGCACCTAATTCCATCTAAGAATGTAGAATGTAGCCACTACATAAAACTTAATCAACCTGTTGATATCTTTAAAATACATTCTGTGACAAGCTGTAGCGTTACCCATTTTTTGTATTTGTGATTTCTTCTAGGTTCCTTCCTGGACAGTAGCAGTCCACTCCTGGCAGTGGCAGCTTGTACAGCTTTGGGGGAAATAGGTAGGAATGGCTCCTTGCCAATCCCAGCAGAGGGTGAGGGCTTTACCAAACTCTTCATTGTGGAGAACCTTGTGGCTCGCATCCCCTCTGGCAAGGAGACCACAAAGGTAACAGATGGAAGTCTCTGTGTCAAACATTGGCATTGTTTTGCAGCAGTGTACACTGTGTCTTCAGCCTGGTTCATTTTATTTGGTGCAGTTGAAAGAGCGAATAATCCAGACTCTAGGTAACCTACCAGTGGGAGATGGAGATTTCCCTCATCAGAAAAAGTTGCTGCAGGGACTCATGGACTCTGTAGAGGTGAGAACACTACACTGATAACATGTCAACATGTGAAGGAAAAAAAAACAACCCTTTTTTAAAAAAGCATTTCTCTCTGCTGTATGTTTATATGCACAATATCATCCACATTTGTAGTTAGAAGTAAAATGGCTCTGTTATGTGCTAATAAGATTTATAATACATTCATCTGATTGAGACCGTTTGAGGATGAACTGATCCATCTGTTATCTTATTGATGATTTAATAACACTGTGTTTTTGTCGTTGAAGGCTAAGCAGGTGGAGCTGCAGTTTACAGTCGGTGATGCCATCACCAGTGCAGCCATAGGCACCAGCTCTGTAGCTGCCAGAGACCCATGGACCTGTACCGAGGACCAGTACAGTCCACCAAACAGTGAGTACAATCAGCCAAACAAAATTGTATTTCTTAACCAATCTGCTTTATGAAGAATACCGTATATTAAATCCAATTTTTATACAAACTGAACAGTGGGGTGTGTGTGCTTTTGCTTCAAACTGAGCTTTTGAAGTGTACTTTTAAGGCTACACTTTCTATTTAAATAATGTGTTTTGTATCATGACCTTTGTTGTAGCAGTAAAAGATATAGTGGTATGTATTTAAGTTTCCATAAGAAATACTTTTGACAAGAGCACATCAAATAAATGTCTCTTAAAACAGATGATTACACTGCTATTTCAAACACACTTTGTTCCTCTCATTCTGTTAGATATGAAAAATAACAATGTGGTGCCCTGGGTCCTCAACTCCATCCTGTCCAAATACATACCCAGCCAGAACCCACATGTTCGACAGGCAGCCTGCATCTGGCTGCTCTCTCTGGTGAAGAAACTCAGCCAAGACAAGGAAATCTTGGTGGGTAAAAATGCAACAATTATTCATTATAGCTTTTTAAAGCTTTGTGAACATGTAGAAAGGTCATATTTGTATCAAGTCACATTTGACCTTTCATATCATCGTTACAGTCCAAGTTAAAGGAGATTCAGGTGGCATTCATCTCGGTCCTCTCCGATCCTGACGGTAAGGCTGTGCTGCACTGTTTGGTTTGCCGATTTTGTTTGTGACTTTGCCATCTGTCCTAAATAATTCCTCATCAGTCACTTGTTTTGTCATTTTTCTCTAGAGTTGAGTCAGGATGTCGCATCTAAAGGTCTTGGTTTGGTTTATGAGATGGGGGGAGAGGCTGACCAACAGGAACTTGTGTCCACCCTGGTGGAAACACTCATGACAGGAAAAAGGTGAGTGAAACACCAAGATTGTGTAACAAAAATACAGAATACATGTGTGTTTTTTGTTTTTGTCCACAATGCGTGCACAGGAAATAAATTGTTCTTCGAAACATTCTTACATTATATAATCTTAGAGATGGACCTTATTTATTTATTTATTTAAATTATAATGTATGTGTTTTATCTATTTTTGTTAAATAACATTTTTATATTTATGAACAGAGTGAAACATGCTGTTTCTGAAGAGACAGAGGTGTTCCAGGGAGATGGTTTGGGAAAAACACCTGATGGGTGAGTACCATTGTCTTATACTGTAAGGTACAATTGCATCTCAAATTATTTCTCTGCAAATACTTCTAATGGAACAACCCAAACAAGACCCAATAACACTAACAACCTGCACACTGACTCTGCATTTTGACTGCACTTTGGAATACATTGTATGTAATCAGAAAACCAGATTTGATTGTTTCCTGCAGCCACAACCTTTCCACATATAAGGAGCTGTGCTCTTTGGCCAGTGACCTTAACCAACCAGATCTCATTTACAAGTTCATGAACTTGGCTAATCACCACGCCATGTGGAACTCTCGCAAGGTATCATGTTGTATCAGCTCTCTCAGCATGTACCACTGTAGCCCTTTCTTCCTTCTGACCTATTTTCTCCCCTCCCTAAAGGGAGCAGCTTTTGGCTTTCACATAATCGCTGCTAAGGCCGGAGAGCAGCTGGCTCCATTCCTGCCACAGCTTGTGCCCCGTCTGTACCGCTACCAGTTTGACCCCAACCTGAGCATTCGCCAGGCTATGACGAGCATCTGGGATGCCCTGGTCACTGATAAGACCCTGGTAGGCCTAAACAAAAACAAACAAAAATAGAAATGTTTATTTGTACACACACAAATAAAACCTATAAAGAGCAATAACTGACTGTTTGTGCATGTTTGTTGTGCTCTGTCATAGGTGGACAAATATCTCAAGGAGATTCTGCAGGATGTCATTTCCAACCTGACTGGTAACACCTGGAGAGTACGTGAGTCCAGGTACAGCAACAGCATGAACTTTCATATTTTCATATACTCACAGTATACATGACCTTATACTTTTCTCTAATACTGCTGAATGTTACACAGGTGTTCTGATCATAATATTTATAATTTCAGTCATAATATAACAGTTGCTGAATTTGTAGTAATGCTAATTGCTCACGGCAGTGTCATTTCATCAATCCATTTTTCTCTCAGCTGCCTGGCCCTGAATGATCTGATTCGTGGGCGCCAGGCTGATGACCTCATTGACAATCTTGCAGAAATGTGGGAGACACTGTTTAGAGTGCTTGATGACATTAAGGTAAGATAAGGTTTAAAATCAGTGTTGCTTTTCAAATGCCAAGTACAGGCAATTTCTCTGACTGATGATCTCTGATTCAGGAATCGGTCAGGAAGGCTGCAGACTTAGCATTGAAGACCCTCAGTAAGGTAAATCTATCTGTCACTTGTCTCAGCTGTTTGTTTGCACCGGCAGTGAGTACATGTGAATAAAGTGTCTCTCAGGTGAAACTTCTTCTTCTACCTTGTGCAGGTGTGCATTCGTATGTGCGAATCCACAGGCTCTGCAGCCCAGAGAACTGTGGCCGTGCTGTTACCCACTCTGCTGGAGAAAGGCATAGTCAGCAACGTCCCAGAAGTCCGTTCACTCAGGTATTGATGTCTCTCTGCAGATGATTTTACTGTGGGACCAACCACTGTAGGCTGGAGTGTCAGAGGCATAAAAATTCAACTGAGCCAATATTTGTAAAGAACAGGCTTTTGTTATCTATCTGCCCCTCAGTTACCAATAAGATAAAAATATATAAATGTAACTTAAATGTAGAAAATTACATTACATGTACATATTTACACATGTTAAATCACATGCACTGTTTCATATTTGTAGCAACATTTTTGTGTTGTTGTAATGGATTTTCATTTTAATGTGCAAAGTTTGGTGTATTCTGCTTCATTAGGGTATTTTAGTCACAAAAATACCAAGCTATGATTCTGTGCCTCATCATTGGTTCTCTTTTTTTTTTTCACACGGCTTTGTTTTTTCCTCCCAGTATCCAGACCTTGGTGAAGATTAGTAAAACTGCTGGTGCGAGACTGAAGCCTCACGCTGCTCGTCTCATCCCAGCTCTACTGGAGGCTCTCAGCACCCTGGAGCCACAGGTTCTTAACTACCTCAGCCTCAGAGCCACAGAGCAGGAGAAGGTAAACTCCACCACCTCAAAACAAGTCATAACAGAAACACGTGTAAGATTTTATCACCGACTGGATACCACTTTGTTTTTGTTGCTTCAGAGTGCCATGGATGCTGCCAGACTAAGTGCTGCCAAGTCCTCTCCAATGATGGAGACTATTAACATGGTAAAATTGGCCTAGTCGTCATTGTTGTTTATAATATTAGGAGTTTCATTGACGCACTATATTTCTAACAGTGAGTCCAAGTGAAGAGATTGGTTGATGACAAACTCTAAAAACTGCACTGAACAGTGACAGATGTTTTATAAAGGTTTGAGTCTTGTGTGTCTTTTTGAACAGTGTCTGCAGCATCTGGATGTTTCTGTGCTGGGGGAGCTGGTTCCTAGGCTTTGTGAGCTGCTGAAGAGTGGTGTAGGCCTGGGAACAAAGGTGAACACCACACACACAGACATTTACTTATTGTCCCAATACCACTTCCTAAAGAATATTGTTACACATAATATTGTCATTTATGTAAACACTGATACCAAGTAGCAATGCCGATATTCCTTTAGGTTAAGTTTCAAAAATATCCAATGAACCGAAAGACTGTGTTTTATATGTGCCAAGGTTATGTGGAAAATGGTGAGGACACCACAGTGAGCACAGGAAGCAGGAAAATACAGTTTTATTTTCTCATTAACAGTTATTTCAAGTTATTGTTTTTGTATTAAACAAAAAGTCTTCAGCTGCCATCACATCAGACAATGGATCATAAAACATAGGGATATAAAATATGAGCATAATTTTTTTTTTTTAAATGAATAGAAAAAAGTGAAATGAAACATTCTGCACAGCCAGCTGAACAGAGAATCTAAAGTGTTTGTCTTCCTGACATCTGTCTTTTCCTTGTAGGGTGGCTGTGCTGGTGTGATAGTGTCACTCACAGTGCAGTGTCCTCAGGACCTCACCCCATATTCTGGTAGAATACAAAGTTTTTTATTTAATCTGAGATTTTACCATTTATCATTTTTGTCTCCTAATGTCAGATGTTATTTTTGGTATTTTAAGGTAAACTGATGAGTGCCCTGCTGAATGGTATCCATGACAGAAGCACTGTAGTACAAAAAGCTTTTGCCTTTGCACTGGGTCATCTGGTCAGGGTGAGTTATAATAATCCAACCCTAAAACCATAGCATAATGTGTGTTGTTACTTTTATTTGAACTCTTTTTCTTTTTGCGCCATCAGTCAGCAAAAGACAGCAGTGTGGAAAAACTACTACTGAAACTCAGCACCTGGTACTTGGAAAAAGAAGGTGAGGAAGAAGGAATGTAAATGTACTATATATACTGTATTAATGAGTAGGCTCTGGGTTACTAAAGTTGGTACTAAAACTGTAATGCCCTCCTCTGTCACTGCCAGAGCCAGTGTACAAGTCTTCTTGTGCGTTGACCATACATGCCATCAGCCACTACAGCCCTGATGTGTTGAAGGGCCATGCTGGTGTGGCTCTGCCTCTGGCCTTCCTGGGCATGCATCAGGCTGCAGGCCCTGAGGAGGAGACAGGAGAGAGTCATGATGCCACGCTGTGGTCTGAGGTGTGGCAGGAGAATGTCCCAGGTGATTTCCGTAGAGCTTGTTATTTAACAAATAAAAGGCTTACATTATTTACATGTAAGATCTGGTTTAAATGTGTTTTCCTCAGCTAGAAAACACCACACAGAATCAAAATAAATTTACATTACTTACTATGAAAAAAGAAATTCTGTATATTACTGGAACAGAAAGACAGATAACAGCAGGTAGATGTACGTGTTTTACACCAGGTTTTATTTGCAAAGCCAAGTGGCATTGACAATCAACCTTTAATTAATCTATTGAAATGCAAGAATGATTTTGATGATACATTATTTTGATTTTTTTTTTTTTTTTCCCCAGGAAGCTTTGGAGGTATCCGACTGTACATGACGGAGCTAATTACAATTACACAGAAAGCTCTTCAGTCCCAGTCCTGGAAGATGAAAGCTCAGGGTGCTGCTGCCATGGCAACCGTTGCTAAGGAACAGATTGGCTCCTTAGTGGCACCGCACCTCGGTTTGGTGCTGTCAGCCTTAATGCAGGGACTTTCTGGACGCACATGGGCGGGGAAGGTGAAACCAACTGCTGACACCAGACTAAAGCTGTGAAACAAGTAAATATTTAGTGCTGATTCACTTTTCCTGTATGTTTAGGAGGAGCTGCTAAAAGCTATAGGATCAGTTGTGTCTAAATGCAGGTGAGTTTAAGACCTGAAACAGTGATTGACCATCAGATTACACTGCTCTACATTGATTCTTCTCATGGGTCTTAGTGGTGAGCTGCAGAAGCCCTGTGCAGGTCAGCCCACCGTCTCTGAGGTGCTGGACGTTGTACTGAAGGAATGTCGTAAGGAGAGCTTGGTTTACAAGATGGCTGCTCTGCGCTGTGCTGGAGACGTGCTCCACAGCAGTCAGGAGGACAGATTTAGTCAAGTAGCAGAAATCCTTTTCCCCATGATCAAGAAGGTAAATGACATCCTGTCAGTTTAACAGTTATCAAAGTCTGAGTCCTAATACTGGTGCCCTGTCTCTGTCTTACATCGTGCAGAGCTGTCCAGGGAGTGGTGGTGGTGCCTCAACCAGGTCTTTGGAGGATGACGACGATGCAGATGGGAAAGAGAAGCAGTTGAGGACTGAAGCCTTGCTTTGTGCCTTTGAGACACTTGGAAAGACCTGGCCCAGGACCCCACAGACTCAGGGTATGTTTTTTTACTACAAGTTAAGTTCACTTGAACCCCTAATCTTATTTAAAGATGACGGCTACATATCAGTGTAATATGACTTGAGAATTTTAACATAATACAGAAAATGACTGAGATCTAAACAATTTAAATGACTTTCTATTTTTATTTCAACTCTGCCTAATGCAGACTCTCATTTCTAACTTTACTCTGTAGAGAATTTGCTAAGCCCTTTTTTTTGGACTGTTTGTCATTTTTAGTGGCTTCATTTTACAAACATAATTATTGACATGGTTATTAATGCCAACTGTGTATATGTGTGTGTGCATGCAGCTTGTTTCCAGGTGGAAGTGTGTAGTCTAATGTGTGAAAAGCTGAAACACAGTACTTGGAAAGTGCAGCTCGCTGTACTACAGTGTATGAAGGCCTACTTCCAGGGGTAAGGGGGAACAAATCTGAAATTATAAAGACTTTTAATTTCACTTCAAACATAATGACACAGTTGATGTTTTGTGGGCTTCAGGTTACTGCTGTTAGAGAAAGGCAATGCAGATTCCAATACACTGGCTCAGATTCTAACAGAGACGTGTGCAGGACTCACCTACCCTTTAGGTACTGGGCTCTAATTTATTATAAAATGTTTTATATGAATGACTCTCATCTAATTTCTTCTAATTTTTTTGACAATTCAGAAAACAAAAGCTACTCCTCTGTGAGGACAGAGGCTCTGTCAGTCGTAGACCTGATTGTGAAAAGAACTGGAGGTGAGTGAGGTTTCCTTTGCGAGGTTGTTATAATGTATACCATTGTTCAGGTACATTTTAGTCCTTTGTGTTTTGTAAATGCATTTGAAAGATTTTAGATTTTATTTGTTTTCATCAGTATACAGTTTTTGTTTACTTTTTCTGCTTTTGTTTGATGTATTTAGTTGACCTAAAAATTGGATAAATGCTGTCATTTTAAAACTATTTTACTGCTGTTTTACAGAGCAGAACATTTCATTCAAATACATTTCACAACTTGCTGACTTTGCTTATAAAACGTTCAAATACCTAAAGATCAATAATGCCTTTGGAAAATGTATTTTTCAAACAGTAATTCACCTTCTTTGCTCTGCATAAAACCACTAGATGAGAAAGGAGTTAAAAGATAATAACTTTTTTAGGGTCTGTTTACATTTATGGATTGATATGTATGCATCACTGAGGCAACGTCCATTGTACATGTGCTGTGAACAGAGAGCGAACAGTGGGACTGTGTGTCTGTGAAGAGCCGAGAACAGCTGCAGCGTTCACTGTCGACCCTGCAGTCTGACAACAGACCTGACCTGAAGGACAAGGCCCAGGAGCTGAGGAGACACATTCAGAGTCAACCCTGAACACACGTGTGCTCACTCTGACCGCCAGATACGTCCAGCTACTGAGTGCAAACTGTTCAAAGAACGCAACTACTGCTTTTAACTTCTGTCGTCCATGTCATCCATACCTTCACTTCTCTGTAAAAGCGCTTTTTGCTGAAGCAGTTCTCTTTCAGAACCAGTATTTACAAACTCAGTTGTTGCATTTAGCATTCATGTTTCCAGTGGCCCTTGAAGTGTTCACATGGCCGAAACTGCCATGACTTTGAGACGTGTCAAAAACTATTATGGGTTTAATACTATTAGGATATGTTTGGTTTGTTTGGTTCATATAAATGGATGGTAAGAGAAAATGATGATAATAAATGGCATTTAAACCAGTCTGTTAGGTTTTTGGACACTACATATCCCCCAAACTGGGGACTTGAACTACTGCTGTGGTTTTACTGATCATTAAAATATTACAACGGTGGGTCCATACACCATTGTTAGCACAGGAAGATGCATGCCCTGAGAATTGTGGTATTGTCACTGCTGTGTGCTCAGTGACGAAACAAGATTAAAGCGTATTTTGTGAAACCTTGAAAATCATTGAGACACTGCTGTTCAGTCCAAAATAGTGCTGTAGCTGTTTGAAATTGTCCCTGTTGAAATAAAGCCACATAATGAATTTGAATACATGTCTTTTGTGAAGGTATTTTGTATGATACTCAAGGGCACAGAGTACATGCAACTCTATTTTCTACCCTACGGATGGTGTTATAAATGCATTCGAAAAACCTGACCACTGGCATAACACTAATTTACAAAAAAATATCATTTTTCTTAAGGGGCCAGCAGATATCTAAATAAATGTTAAGATGTCCATGAGGACAGACCATTGTAACCCCACAACCACAGACTGAACATAGTGTAGAGCTCTGCATTTTTGTACACTAAACATAAACGTCCCAGGATAAAACTATGTCCCAATAATCCACTAACAAGACTAATTTACAATTGACCTAATTTATTAATTAAAATAAAAACATACGCCATTTATCGTGTGTAGCACAACAGAGATGGGAAAGTCAACAAGAGTATAGGCAAAAGATAAAAACATTTAAAAATACAAAACTGTAAGTGATTCATGTCGTGATACAGAGAAAAAGGAGATGGAAAGTGACAGATCACTCACAAACAAAGGCCTTGAGGAGTATACACAGTTCTTTAGATACAAACACATTTTGCAATATTTTTCTAAAACTTGTTTTGCTGCTGTATCGTTTCATCATTAGCTCATGAGCTTTTTGTTCCTCTTGTCCTTCTGACGAGCCTTGTCCTGGCCTTTCTGGGGAACATTGGTGTCGCACTGGGTGAGCGCAGACCGTGACACTGCGGACATGCCGTCCACAAACTTTGTCTTGAACAGGACGTTGGCATTGGTGAACATGCCATCCTTCAGGGACACCACAATAAACTGCAGGGAGAAAGTTGAATATAAATATTATAAGTTTGTTTTGATTTTTTTTTTTAAATCAAAAGTATGTTGTATTGACCTGTGAGTGTCTGAAATGACTGCGCAGCATCTGCCCAATGTTCTGTGTGTGAGAAAGATCCAGAGCAGCATCCACCTCATCCAGGATGTAGATTGGAGCTGGTTTGAACAGCAGCATGGCCAGAATGAGGGACAGGGCCACCAGTGACCTGAAATAAGTACAGTGTGTTTACAACACAACGTCAATACTCTCAGCAACTTGATGATCTTATCAGCACTACTCATTATCTGTGTCCATGAACAACCACAGGACACTCAGTCACCAATAAGTACTGACCTCTGTCCTCCACTTAGCTCACTGAGGTTCTCCTTCCAGGTGTTGCCCAAAGCCACCTTGAACTCAAGGCCCTCCAACACTCCACAGCCCTGTGGGGGGGCCAGTTTGGCATTGGCCCCTGGCAGCAGAGTGGAGAAAATGGAGCCAAAGTCCTTATTCACCTATAGAGGGAGGGTGAGTTTGACGGAGTTTATTTTATAAGCCGTGATTTTACAGTAGCATTTTGTTCATATTTTTTTTTAAATAAGGCAAAGAAAAGAATGCTTTGAGAAAGACACAGTTGACCTAGAAGTGTCTAAAAACAGGTACAGACCTTCTGCCAGGCCAGGTTCAGAGCTTCATTCTTCTTCTGGTCCAGTTCCTTGATAGTCTGTAGAATTTTTTCTTTGTCGTTCTCCACGATCCTCTTCTTCTTCATCAGGTCATTGTACTGCAGGACGAGACGGATGTTTAGTATGGACAAATTTATTGGACAAAGCTTCTCAATCACGCTGTCCACCCCTGCCCCCTCACCCTCTCCTCCGCCTCATTCAACATGTTCATCGCCCTCTTGTTGATGTTCCTCTCCAGCTTGGAGGTGGTCTCCTCCAGCTTCTTCAGCCGTTGACCCGCCTCACGAGGGTTGTTGGTCTTGAAGTCGTAGGAGGTGTTTGGCTGACCGAAGAAGCCGCGCTCTGACTGGATCCAGTCATGTTCCTCCAGCATCCGAGTCACCTGGAGGAGACAAGAAAAGAACAAAAAGAAGAACAAAACAGTTCAGAGAGAAACCCATGGTTCAAGGTTTTGAAGAGAAGAATGAGAAACTGATGTGAACTTCAGAGGATGAAAAAAAAAAAAAAAAAAGTAAATGAACTTTTAGCCGTACCTTGTCAGCAGCATCCTGGCTGTCTTTGCGGTGTTTATTAATGTTGTGCTCCAGTTCCTTAATCTTCAGCTGGTATTCATTGTTTTGCTCCCTCATCTTATTGGCCTCAGTGCTTTTCCCCTGGATGGATAATGTAAAATATACAATTAATATTTAAACTGGCGGTGGGTTGGATAGAGCAGCTGTGAGAGCAGAGTGAGTGTCAGAATACAAGTACGAGAGCCACGAGGCATGATGCACCTAAGATTTTTATTTTTAAAAATCACCTTGAGCTCCTTGTCTTGGGTCATGATCACCTCCTTTTGTTTTGCCAGCTCCTCCTGGGCTTTACGCACAGCCTCCTACAGCCAGGGAGAAATCAACAACGTGCTTACAACAGCCGGGACAAAGGCTTAACACAAAAAACAGATGTTAATGTGTACAAATTCAAAATGTTAGAAAAATACCTTATTCTGGGTCACAGCGCAGGTCATGCTGTCTATCTGCTCCTGGATGGCTTTCATAGCTTCATCTACAGCCGCAATCTGCTGCTCATAACCAGCCTGTTCTCTCTTCAGCTCCTCCAACTCCAAAGACACAGCCTCCGACTCCTAGATACGAACCAATGTAATCAAATAAATAAGCCAATGTGACACTTTGACATATGTGCCCCAAATGTGCTGCATGTAGAAGCCATGTGCTCAGCGTACCTGCTGCTTCTGCTTGAGTTTTTTGTTGAATGCATCGGCTTTGCTCTTGGCTGCGTTTAGTTTCTGCTGCGCAGCTTTCAGCTCTTTTTCTCTTTCGGCCTCAGCATTTTTCATCTTGTTCTCCAACACCTTGTACTTCTCTTCGGCTCGTTTTTGCACCTCCTTGGTGACGCACAGGGTCTTCTCACTCTCCTCTGGTCAATGTAAAAAAAAAAAAACAGTTTAAAAAAGATAACGAGTGTTACGGTATGTGTTATGTTGTTAACGTTTTTCTGTATTCTCACCAATGGCTTTGCGTAGTCTCTCCAGCTCCTCCTGCTGCTGGTGGAAGGAGCTCTGCTGCAGCTTGGCCTGAAGAATCTGTTCCTCTTCTACCTTCAACTCATGCTGCTGCTTCAGCTGGCGATACCTAGAGAAGCCAGAAAGAAAACGTCAGGAAAATGTTTTGATCGTTAATGTGTAATGGATTTCCGTCTGATGTTAACGCACACATTAACAAAACTATCCAAAACTATAATTAACTAAGATCTCTGTACGGATCTAGTGCAAGTTGGACTTCATACTTCTCAGCGATTCCTTTAAGACTGGCCAACTGTCGCTCTGTGTCTTGAAGCTGCATCTCCTTTTCTTTGAGACTGTCCTGAACCTCCTTGACCTCCTGCAGACTGGCCAGAACAGATGCTTTCTGGGAGCGAGCACCTGGAATAAAGCAAAAGAATAGAGTTTGGGTTTATTTATATTTAAGGTATATTACAATTTTGTTTTGTTTTAAGAAACCTCTAGTGTTCCTCACCTCCACTCAGAGTTCCCTGTGGGTCAAAGATGTCCCCTCCCAGGGTGACAGTCTTGGTCATCACCTTCCTATCAAAAGCCACTCTCTTGGCATTGTCCAGTGTGTCACACACCAGCGTGGAGCCAAAGACGTACTCCATGGCCTTACGAAGGTCAGATTCATATCCTACCAAGGACAGAGCAGTGTGGACGTTATCGTCTCCAACCTGACAACAGAGGGACGAGGGACAAAAAGGGAGTAAACAAAAACACAGCCTCTTATCTGAACATTAATCACATAGTTGTGTTCGTTGCAGAGACTTCTCACCAGGCTCTTGGCGCTGTTGACTACGTTGACATTCAGGGTTTTGGCAGAGATTTTGTTCAGGGGAATGATGGTGTATCTGCGCTGCAGCTCTCCCTTCTCCAGCAGCTTTTTACCAGTCACCTGACAGAAACAAATCAAAACACTGTTGGATAAAGAACAATAAAATATGATCACAATAGTGAAAACACACTGACCTCTGTGTCGACTACAATGTTATATAGTCGTCCTCCTGCCACCACCTCAAGAGCAGTGGCATAAGAGACGTCACGAACTGTGATCAGGTTGGCCAACAGCCCCTTCACCTTACTGTGGTCCCACCCACGCTCTGGATCTCTGAGGAAAGGAAGTGTGTTTGTTAGGAATTTTTTTTTTTTTTACTGAAGTATGAAGTGAAATTATGGCAAATACTTACTTGTAATCAAAGCGCAAATTAGGGAAGCGAGACACAAGACGTTCGTAAGTCTCTTTCAGAGTGGCGACCTCTCTGGACAACTGCCTTCTTTTGTCCAACAGGCTCTCCTCCTTCCCATCTGCAGTGAATCACACAGCGCTACAATGTAACTAAAGATTCTTGATTAGAAACAAAACTTAACACCAATTCAAGACACACACATTACCTTCATATCCAAGTTTAGCTAGCTCCGCCTCCAGCTTCTCTCTGCTATTTCTGACAGTCTGCAAGGTATCCTGATCTTTCTTGTATCCACCGTCCATCTTCTTCACTTCTGTCTGTTTGGCCTTCAGCTCAGACTGGGCATGTTTCAATGTCATTTGGGCCTGGAAAAAAAGTTTATTTACTAATAGAAAAAAAAGGACAATATGGATGTTTAACACACAATGTCTTATACTTCATTTATAACCAACAGAATATTCCAACTAATTTTCTTCAATTTCAATTCTTATCAAAGCTGTTATAAAATGACTTAAATGTCACAGTTTTAAACTTACAAAGCTGTTATAAAATGACTTAAATGTGAGGTTACCTTATAATTTCAATTAAAACTGTATACACATTAGATTCAAATCTTTCTTATTTTCTAATGAAATCACATCACAGGTGTTTAACCAGAAAGGGTTTTTTTTAACAAATGTCATCCTGATAATCATCTTTTCCAGGACAAAAAGAAACAAATCTGAAACACCAGGCACCATGGCTTTTACAGATTCAACTCCTAACCTGCTTGGCTTCTGTATCTGCTTTGCTCATGTCATTTTTGCAGGTCATCATCTGTCCTGCCAGTGTGTCCTCCTCTCCATCCTCATTGGTAGAAAGACCAGCAGAGACAGCCTTAAAATGCTGCTCTGCTGCTTCAAAGGCAGCGTTTTCCTTCTGTCCCTCCTCCTGCAGTGACTGAAGCTGCTCCATCATTTTAGAAACCTCCTTCTCCTTCACAGTAAGCATCTTGTTGTCCTAATAATGGATAAAAGGCAGTACAGTTAACACTTTTGTTATTTAAAAAAATATACTGTATATATATGGGATTTCTTTTGTAAACAAGATGTTACCTCTTCCATATTCTTTACAAGCTCTTTCTTCTTCTTGGCTTCATCTTTAAGATTCTGTTTTTTGAGATCAAGTGCACTCTGGGCCTTTGCATCCACACGTTGCACATCTGCCAATGATTCTTCAAGAGATTTAAGAACTCCACTCACTTCCTATGGAGGACATGATCATCACAGAGAAAGAAGAGCTTAAATTATTCTTTTCCTGCCAATTTTCAATAAACAAAATGCACAACATTACATTGTTTATTTGGCAGTCTAGCCATCTAAAATATATGTATATGTAATACATATAAGTTACAAATATATTGTAACACCATTACTAATGTTAACTGGTTAAGAGTCAATATTAAAGGTTTACACCCCCATGTAACCTTTGAAGTATACCTGATCCCTTTTCTTCTGCAGCTCCTGGATCTCAGCTGTGAGTTCTTGGACTTTGCTCTCATTCTCAGCCATGCTAGCTTGCATCTTAGCAATGTTATCCTGCATCACTTTCAGATTTTCTGCCGACTTCATCTTAGTCTCCTCCGCACACACAAACAGCCAGGCCACATACAGACGAGTCAAGTGCTGAATCTCACGCATCAACTTCTGGTACTCCAGGTAAGATGAACGCTCCTGCAAAAAAAAAAAATTTAAACAGAAATAATCAAAATACAACTTAATAGAATAAAGACATCATCTGTGTGTTCATTTTCTTTTTTGTTGACCTACCTCTTGTAATTTCTGCATTGTTGGAGTAATTTCCTCATTTAAGATCTAAAAAAAAAAGAATAAGATTGTGTTAAATACAACATTATGTGTTATGTATAGCACCTTACTATTGAAGATCCATTACATTTTTATTTGGAACATACCGTTTGTATCTCCTTCAGCTTGGCTTCTTTCTTCTCAATTGTTTTCTGAGCACTGATCTTTTTACATTCATACATTCTTGTACCTGCTGCCTCCTCGATCATTGCAAGAATCTGAAAGGCGAGAGGGTCATTATTCTAGTGTCTAATTATTTTAGTGTTTATAAAATGTGTTTGATGCCTTACCTCAGGGGGCTTCATGTTCAGAACCTTTGTGATCCTCCCCTAAAATATCAACATCAGAAACCCCATGTTATAACATATCTGAGTGAAAAAACACTATTGTACAGGTAGTACACTCACCTGCATGATGAGAAAATGTGGGTTGTTGACATTGAGGCCGACGGAGCAAAACAAGTCTTGAACCCGGGTGTTGTTTGCATTAACTCCATTGATCAGGTACTTGTTCCTGCCGCCAATCACCACCTTAAAGTATGAAATGATTATATCTAACCCGTTCACCTAAACAACACAGACTTGAGGTGTTGTCTTTACCAACCTGCCTGGTGACAGTAATTTCATCGTGGGTTTCAAACCCCAGAGGGCTCTGACTTTTGTTTGAGTTGTCAAAAGTAATCGACACAGTCGCCTTGGTAATGCCACCCTGTCCATTTTTGTATACGAGGTCCTGCAGGTTGGAGGCTCTGACCTAAAAATGTAAACAAATGGACAGACGTTCACTATTCTTGTTCAAATGAAGCAGCACGCAATACTAGTTAGGCATTGAGTGTTACTCTTGATATATTTATCCGGTATCTATTCCAGACTCCACACTTACATGAGTTAGATTTGAAATGCCCAGAAGAAAACATATGGAGTCCAGTATATTAGACTTTCCGCTGCCGTTCAGCCCCGTGATGGCGTTGAACAACGGGTCGAAACCGTTGATCTCCGTCCTCTGAGCGTAGGACTTGAAACCTTCAATAATGATAGACTTTATGTGCATGTTGAAGATCGGCGCTCCTCTATTCCTTGAATTTTAATAAGATACGTGTGGAGTAAATATTTCCCGTTAGTAGTGCAACACCAGGCTACACCCCAGTGTTTATAACCGAGACCAGGATATTCGCATCTCTCTCAAAGTTGAATTTTGGCGGCAGTCGTGGAACCGCTTCAACGCCTTACACCGTGCCGGAGACGATACGTATTTATGCAGTAAAATAAAATTATATAGACGCATAAAACATAATCATGAATAGAAAATAGCTAGATCTCAAGTAAGTTTTAATAAAGGTTTACTACACACCAAATATGCAATTTAAGCGCATAGAACTTTATTATGTTATTGTTTTAGCCCGGCAGATCTTAAGGCTACTAAGTGGTCCTAACTTTGTGCTGCAGCCGTTGTGGCGCCACCTTCAGACTGGAAACTGATGCCACAAGACGGAACTGAAATTTAACAAATGTATGTCTCTTTACTTAAAGGCAATACCTCTGCTTAAGATTAAAATAAAAATGAATTATCATAGAGTAGTAAAAATTATTATATATTCTAGTGAAACACTCAAGTGAATGAGTAGTAAAGTATTGCTATGACTAATTTTATTTAATTCCTACTAAAATATCATTACAATATTAAATGCAAATTTACAAATATTATTCCTCCACTAAGGTTTTAAAGGATAATAATATTATAAATAATATTATAATTTAAAATAATTTTGAGAAGAGCAAAATACTGTTTTTCTGAATCTTGATGTGTTGAGTCACTGTGACATTGACAAAGACTTATCTGTATAGTTAAAGAAAACCTTATTGTTCCATAAAAATATTTACCTCGTTGCAGTCAGTCAGTGCTTTTGTCTTTTTATGTAGTATTTGGATATTTCTCCAATATGTGTATTATTTTCTATAATTTATTTGGTGTTAGAATAATTTTACTCTTTACATTAAAAATAACTCCAATGTGTGCATGACTTGGTTTGTCTTTATATAGTACTGTATAAGCCCTGGTAAATGACTGGTCCAGGATTTACCACTCTTAGTGTAAATGGGGTTTGCCTTCGGCTCTCCCTGCAACCCTTAACAAAATGGTTTACCATTAATAAATCAATTTAAATTGTTGTATAATATATACTATTAGATCAGTAATATAAGATCAGTTTACAGAGTGGCCCAAACTCAAGCAATTTTAAACTTTACTCTGTTTTACTCTCTTAAAATCCATATTTTACATACACACTTTCACAGATACGTTTTTACAAAAATCACATAATCAGCTTACAATTAATAAATACCAAGCTGCTTTGATACTTGCCCCTGTGTCCAAAGATACATTTAGCACAATGATAATGCAAAATTAAATGGTAAATAAATTACATAAAAAACATGTGGTTGGTTCAACAGAACCAAAAATTAAAATCTACACATTCTCCAGTAATCACAGTTTCTCAATCTGACACACATATACACACTGGAATTTACACACATGTGCATAATGACTGTTTCTTTCATTAGGCATCAAGGGGCACAGGGCACATAGACAAACACACCAAATTGAATGCATAAAAGCAAATCTGTGTGAGAACCACACAGTCTCCTCTGTTGGAGTAGAAGGACGTGGGCTTGATGTAGCTCCAGTCAAAGTTCCGCAGGTTCAGTGACCTCTGACAGTACTGATCACTGACAGCCACCAAGGCACGAACAATGGTATATTTGGCTGAGCAGCTCACCGCCGTCACTGTCCGCACTTTGTCAAAATGCAGCAGGAAACAGGGGTCATCCTGGAGGAAGTTTGCAACAGACCAGGATGAGGTTGCAAAAAATTTAATATTGTACAGAATTAAATGACTAAAATGCTGTGGATTATTAACAGCTGATCCACGATATAAAAAAATTAGGGTCAGTGTAATTCAAAAAGTAAAAACACTTTTTCTTTGAATAACACATTTTGCACAATTAACAAAGTTAAATATACAGTATTGATTGTTGTTCAGTGTTGATAGCAGAGTAGTTGTGGTGTTTATTTGTTTAAAAAACATAAGTACAAGAGGTTTGTATTGTCTGCAGTATAAACATGATGTTGTTTTTAGTTGAGCTTTAGAAATATATCATAATAACGATAACTCACAAGTCATCTATAATGTAAATCCATGCAGTCAGTAAATGAAAGTAAATCTTTATGTTTACCACATCAGGGTCCCGCCCGTCAACCAGAGACAGGTCCTGCAGAGACCAGATCTCAGTTCTCCTGTAGCAGTCCTGTATGCTAGAGCGTTTAGTGTGGCTCTTCTTGGATCCAGTCTTAAAGGACTGCGATAGCTGACATCGCACTATACATACCTGCACCAGTTTATTTTTTGCAACTGCAGAAAGATGAATGAAAAACAACAACTCAAGTAAACAAATGCAAAACAGAACTGCCATTTTCAGAAATTGATTTTTAATTATGATAATCACTAAAATCATAGGTAGTTTTCATTATTAGTTACCTCAAAAATGCTTTACTTTGGCAGAAAAGATAGATGCATACCTGAGACACAGAGAAAATGTCGTCCTTCTCCCGGCTCCTCAATCTCAATAAACTCCACCAGTCTCTGTTTTTCAGGTCGAAATAAAACTCTCGCCATCTCCTCCCTCAGAAGAGACGACATCACTGGATACGAGAGGAAGAAAATCAAAGCTTGATGCTGGTGGAAAAAAGCCTCACGAGAGGAAGAGTGCAGAAATGTGGCAAGAGGTTAGAGAATCTAAAAGAGAAAAAAGAAGGATTGTGACTGTAGATAACAGAGAAACCTGTGGTGGGGAGGGAGGGGGCAATATTTGCTCCTCACTGTGAGTGTGACATTATATGTTTGTGTGTGGAATGGGCTCTTGCACACGCAACCACACACAAACGTGCACACGTACTGCAGCAGTGTGATGACCCATGTTCATCTTTCATTAAGTGCTTCCTTTACAGCAAATGTTCAATGACGTATTACTAGAATGGGGGGGAGGGGGGGGGGTGCAATTAAAGCCTAGTCTTTTTATATTTGTTCTCTTTTATCGTTTCAATTAGGAACCATCATGATGATCCTGGTACTGACGTAGGTTTTCCTGCGAATATGGATGTGACTATTTAATTTCTACTTTCTCGTAGTTCCTGACACAAAGCACTGATATATGTTCATATAAATGTCAACGTCGTCCATGGATTTATGTCCTAATACCACACTCATAGACCGTCTCATTCTTTCTCTTAATGGTCATTCTGTCTCTATTCCACTCACTCACATTATACACAGATAAATAATGTGGCAAACTGCCCAATGTTTGTCTGTGATTAAACGGTTCTTTTGTGGGAAAAGGATGTCCCACAGCACTCTGCATGGTTTCCATTACCTTGTAGTAATTCAATATCAGAGAACAGTTACAAGTGAGGTGAAGCACTTAAATGGAGGGATTGAACCAGGATGTAAAGGGTGCTGTGCATTCCAAAAACAATCTGTACATGTTCTGATAAGGAGGGTGATCTGATATCACTTTTTTTTAATTAAAAGCAAGGAAATGGCAAAAATATGCACACAAGAAGAGACATTTAAAACTCCAGTGAAGTGTCAATTAGATTTTTTGCAGGAAATTGTGTGTATGTGTGTGTGTGTGTGTGTGTGTGTGTGTGTGTGTGTAATTGGCTCTATTGTATATGTCACATTTGTGAAAAAGAGATGGGTCTTTGGAAGGCTAAGTGCTCTATTGTTGTTGTTGTTGATAGTTTTTGTGGGTGTTCTCTTTAAAGGCTTTTTGCCTCTGAGATGGAAAGATGAGCAGATGGGCAGGAAGCAGTGAGGAAATATACAAGTGTTGAATCTCATGAATAACACATGAGGTTTATTGTACTTACACTTATCATAAACCCTAACCCCAACATGTCTGCTGTGTGCAGTAAAAGGATTATTATATGACAGGATAAAATAAAACATATTGTGCACACTAGATAAGTTTTTTTCTTACTGATAAACTGCACTAAAGCAAGTTTTGTTTTCTTAGTTTCATTTAATGTACATTCAATTTGTAACTATTCTCAATAACTAATATTTTTTATATAAAATGTCATTTTATATGATGATGACAATGAAGAATTGTAGTAACCAGAGATGAATAAAATAGATGATGATGGTATGGGAAAGATGTTTCTAAAGAGACTGTGATTGGTGAGAATCACTAAAAAAATATCCTGAAAAAGTAAAAATACAGGAAGAAGTATGTGTAAAAAGTTAAAATGGGAAATATAATCAGTTACAGTTATTTAAGGATGGTACTGTATGCATGGTCATGACAACATCAAAAAGTTTATACTGAGAGTTAAATAAAAAGTAACGAAACTGTCTAGTGTCTAGTTGGGGTAGGAACAAAAGTATGCAGTATCAGGAGAGACACTGATAAATAAAATGATATTCTGTATTTCTCCAGATATTTGCCAGAGGTCATACAGATGCATGGCCACAGTTTAAACTGATAGCAAAGCAACTAAAACACCAGATAAAAAAGATGAAATAATCTGGAACACAACAATGAAAGCACATTCAGTGCAGGGAGGAAAATAATGTTTCCATAAATGTAAATTTGAATTACAGTTCTTAGTCCTACCAAAATGTACACTAGAATACAAGAGTTCCTCTTGTAATATTTTAATATTACAAGAGGAATTCTTGGGAACAAACAAACAGTCTTTAAGGTTACTTTTGTATATCAATAATTGCACATAAAACATCTACAGATAAACGAGATTAAATTGAATTATTCAGTTTTCTTACTCATAAATGCATGCTCTTTAATCCCAAACACCGGATTCAAAGCACCAAAAAGTAAAGGGAACCTCGACACAAGTGGAAATGTAACGTCACGACATGTTGAGCTTGTGATTGGATGACAATAAAGGGGGGAAACCCCTGTTCCATGGACAAGGCCATCCCCACTGATCCATGCTCTGCTCTGCTCTGCACCCCTCTGGCCACTACCAAAATGTCACATTCACGGTCCCAACACTGCAATTCAACTGGTAGCTTATAAAAATATTATTATTATTATTATTATTATTATTATTATGCGATATAATCTATTAATACAATTTTATAAGGTGTTAAAATTTAATTACACGACATAATTAAGATTGAGATAAAAAATATTATTTTTAATATTGTTGAGGTAATTTTGCTAATCCTACAGTAAACATCTATTGTATCAGTGAGCGATCATGGTCACTTTCGGCATTAACTGCATTAATTTGCATTTAAGGAGGCAGTAACAGAATCACCGCCCGATGTTTCTGTGGTTCATCTTAAAATAAACAGCTGCCTCAGTGGCAGTGCACTAATGTGTCAGGAAAGCCACAGAGGAAAAAAACACGCAGAGTCATTTCGCCGTGAAGATCCTCTGCCCTACTGTACTTGGAAAATAGTGCGCTCTACTGTCTCCATTGCGCATGACTGTACGGCGTAATATGAAGTAGGCCTCCTGTTTTTCTCCCCAACCCGGAGAGTCCTCCTGGCCCCCACCGCCTGCAACGCTCAAGTAAGTACAACACGAAGGCTGCTGTCGGTTATTCACAAGCAATATGATCTATTTAAACATTTTTAAAGGTGTTGTCGCTGAACACGGAGTCAAAGCGGAGCGGCCGTGCGCTGTGTGTGGTTTTTTTTAGCGTGAGGAAACGCTCGGACTGCAGAGGAGGCTTCGGGACTGTTTCCGCACGCTTGAGGGAGAGCAAGGCCCAGTGACCCACATTCAGAGCTGCCACTGTCGATGTGTACGAGTGTGGGCGAGCGTGTGCGCGCAACACAGTTACTGTGTATGTATGTGTGCGTGCATGCATGTGTGAATGTGTGTGTGTGTATGTATGTACATCTGCCGCGAAAATGTTTTCTACATTATACGGGCTTTTAGACGTCTCTTCCCACGGATTTTGATGCTTTTTGGCGGATTTTGCCTGAACCCAGCCCCATTCGGTGCTCGTGGTGGTGTTCACCGAGCCACGGTAATATTTCCACACATTATTTTGTCTTCAGTGTCAGTTGTTGCGTGACAGCTTGAGGCTGAGAGCCAGGCGGGCAGGCAGCCCGATATTCCTGATGGGTTTGCAGAAGGTGAAAGGGTTTACCTGTCACCCTAACTGTTACACCGCATTTGTGAGTGTGAAAACGACGGGGACTCGGCAGGAAACAAGCAGCTCTGTTAAGCTTTGAGTTAAACTGGCAGTTTTCAGCAGCGAGCTTAGTTAGCCTGTTAGCTCACTGCAAAAGCTGCAGTGTTTAGGTTGTATAACCAACACCTGTGGCTTTATAATGTGAATTTGAGGTTTCATTGTGCGTTATGTTTGTTTTGGTGGAGTGCGTCCACACGGTTCCTTCGCTAAGGTCTCCGTGTTGTGTGTTTATTCTTCGACAATGGCGTACAGTGGGAAGAGTCGACCAGTGGAGAAGCTCAGGCCAATGAGACTTCACTTATTGGTCATCAGGAGTAAATGGCTCTAGGTCAAATCTGTATCTCCATAAGTACAGAACCAAAACAAATCCCATCATTCACACTAAAGCATCTGATGTCATAATAGGAGATGCGCATAACACATTTGTTTAAATGTACAGTATGCCGACATTTTCGTGAAAAGATAAACCATAGACTCCAGCATATTCTTTAAAGGGTATTGTTATAAGCCTGCAGAAGTGCAGGCCAGTTTGTATATCTATGAAGACGCTGCTTTCCTCGCTGTATTTTCACATATTTTTTATAGTTATCATCATATGTATTAAACTATCTACATTGGAATTGTCTCATATGCAGTATTTGAACTACTTCCTGCTTTGCTTTGGGATGTATTTCTTAAATACATTGAGAACAAACCCATGACAGAAATACCAAAAAGGTGCTTTAGTAAAACAGTTCTCAATAGGACAATTGTTATTACCAGGATGGCTTATGTGTTAGAATGGAATCCGTACCAATAGTTCAGCTGTGGCAAAAATATCAAGTATAATCTTTAGGAGAATACATTTATTTTACATAACAAAAAGGTACAACTCCTTTATTCCTTGTTCTTTTTTTGCTGTTCAAAATCTTATATGTATTTTGTTTTCAGTCAAATACGTATAAGCAGTATCCAACCATACAGCATATGTTTTATCAAGTATGCACTCCTACAGTGAACCATATACGCTTTTCTTTTTAAAACTTACCTTAGCATGTGAAACTAGAACAAGTTTCCTGGTGTCAGAAACAAAGTAGGTGCAATTCTGCACATTAGCACAAAAATTAGGTTTCCGCCAGGGATCAAGTATTGACGTACATGTTTGTGGAAGATGATGTTTATTGATATACAGTAGACTCTGTAGGTGGCACTGGTGGAACTGGAAGCATATCAGTTGTTGCTCAAACAGAATTAGATTTTTTAAAGGCTATAAATATTGATCAGGTTATTGTGTTTACATATCCCACCATTTAGTTTAGTAGCAACCAGTGCAAAATACATCTACAACAAAGACAGGTTCCGGCGTATAATTTAAATCCGCTTGAGTTGATTTTTATAAGGAGAAACTGTAAGCTGTAGGGTGGGGTGATTTTGGTGGTCATTTGTTTAAATGGTTATCTGTTTCCTTAAATAATTTGGACACACAACGAAAGAGAAATGCTAAAAAATACATTTTCTTTACCCAGCTCTGACGTGTGTAGATGACTTGGTTATTTAATACATATACCTTTGGTCTATTGTTTATAATTTACATTTAAGATATTTGGAGGCAGCGTTATTATTGAAAGTTGTGTTTTAGTTTTACAAATTGCTTAAGAGGGAGGTTACAGTGATATAAAAGGGAACATGCTTTTATGTCACTGTGAACTGCTGGTCATCCAATACATAGTAGTGCAGACCTCAAGACAACCATACAAATATAAAGCCCTGGTGGGTCACATAAAATAATGTGATGGGCTGTATTTGACCTGCAGGCTTTGAGTTTGAC